GGGGAGGAAGTAGAAGGAAACAGAGGAAAGTAATTAACTCATTAGGTACAAAGTGTAACTAGAATTAAAATACAACCAGGACTGGAGACCCTGGAAAACTAGAGAAATGAGAATAAAAAAATAAACTATAAATGAAACTAAGAACAAAGCAGTCAGCCAGACAGCATCTAATAGTAAGCGTGAATTTAACCTCCAAGAAACTCTAGTCGATCACAATAGACTATAATGTTGTTGAGACTGACACAAATGAACACATCAGAATGCAGATGTATATCCTTGATTTGTTTTATATAGTTTAAAATTGAAGGGAACCAGGGAAAACTCGCCATGGATAGCTTCTTTATCATCGTAATGGAACACTTGTAGAGGTTCGATAGCAGCAGAGAGAGAACAATTACTTGTAGCAAAAAAGAGTAAAATGGAAGACAGGAGGCAAAAACGATGATAGTGGAATAGCAATTGACAATTTTTGTTGCTGCTTTGTTTGCAACCTTTAGACTGATTAAACAGTTTGATTACTCCTGCAGTCATTAAATATGAGAAGAGGCAGCAGCAGCTATGATTTTGAATCAACTTAGCTAGCAAATATGTGGTCAAGCATGCAGAAACAAAATTTATTTCAGAGTGAGCCAGTTTATTCTGACTGAAGTGCTCTGATTGAGCTTATCCTCTGGGTATTGGTAGCATGTCGAGCAGCTACTGAGAGAGAGACAACGGATGAGAAGGCGATACAAGGGCTTGAATGGCAGGAGAATAACAAGTCGAAGCCCAGAGCATGAGAAACATATACACAGACAAAAAGGAGAGGGAAAATCAAAAGAGATGGAGAGAGGGATGGTAGACAAAGAGGAAGGCTAAGCAGAGTGGAGACGAGGTGAGAGTGACAGCAGTGGAAGCCTTTGATCTTAGGCTTCTAATCAATGGGGATTATGGTCTCTGTGCCTGTGTCAGTCCTGATTATTGCACCGGCACATAGAGACAGTGGGCATCCAGAAAAACAGCAGACAAATACAACCCCATCTTCCAAAAAGAGGCATTCTGCAAAGCTCCATATAGGTGAATATGATCAGACACATGAAGTGTTTGACAGGACACAGAAATCCAGCGTGGAGATGGATTCAGCATAGAAAGTTGATTCTGGTCATATTAAAA